ACTTAATTCTGTAAATTGATAATTCTATTACAATGCATATTGCACAATAACTCAAAGTATCTTTATGTGTTCTAGCGCAACGTGGATAACATAGCCATCTATTTATTTTTTCGTACTTAGTAGGTATAATTATGCATGCATAAATGTCACAATATTTTAAATGTACGGTTATATAATTTTTATTTTGTATGGGTCCACATTATAACATATAAAATATACAACAGCTATTTATTCTTTTACTCGCGCGTCCGTGATAATATATTTTGTGTATGTCTAAAACATTGCCAAAAAAAGAAGTAATATATGTATGCCACGTCTAAAAACTACTTTAAATACAAATTTACAGGATGGATTGTCAATGGGGGTTTCCTTATCATGCTATTCAATGTCATTGTAAACTTTCATATTTGATCATCTATATATAATATATAAAAATGAATTAGCCTGTCATGCCTGCCTGTCCTTTATGCCTGTCTAAACGGCTGGATTAATATTGATGAAATTATTTGAGTGTGTTTGAAGAGTTCCATGGATGATTTAGTTTTATAATTGGAACCGGGAGGTCCACCGGGAGAGGTGTTCAAACAGGGATTTTGAAATTTAAGAAGTAATTTTTTGTTTCTAAATGGTTGCTATTGGTTATAGGAGGAATATAAATATATTTAGTATAAATTAATTTTTTTTTCTGTTTATTGTTTGCCATTGGTTAATCAGGCAGCTCAGGTATTCGTATACGCAAGCATCAAATCGAATTTAGCACATTGCTTACCAAGGTGGTTATGAGTTGTACTTATAGCCGCTCATCGGCGTGTAAAAATAAAATAACCAAAACATATTAGTCATATATAGAGTACGCACCAAGCGGGTTCCGCAATCCAAAGCAGGTGGCGGATCTAGCGCCATTAAGAGTATAACCTGATTAACCTCCGTACGCGTCAAGTTTTCGACGAAATAAAAGTTGTGATGTCGTATTTATCGACCACCAAATCGAACGGACGTTTTAAACAAGCTGACACTGAAATCTAAAAACCGGAATAAACAACATATTTGATCGCTAAAATAATGATGAATATCTTTGGATGAATCCGTGTAGAATTAATTACAGCATTGTGGAAAAATGCTTGCGTATTTAGTTAGGTATTTGTGAAAATCGAATAATAATGGAGCATCTTATTATGGATCATTGATATTTTGCAACGGATCGAGGTTGTGCAAGACACTACAAACACTATTCATAATGTAGACACTGGGATAATTGAGTCCATTGCAAATCGCACTGCAAGAAAAGTTATTGCATGACGGTGGGAGTTGACAACATACATTACTGAAATGCTGAAGTTTATGATATAAATTATACACCTGTTGATTCTTTTATAGAAAAACAATTACTATTTCAAAAACTATTAATGTTTTAGAAAATACTTTTTTTACATAATTATAGGTAGTATAAGTATATTTTTAAGTTTTCTATTTTTTCGAATGACTACATAGATTTTTATATTACACGGGATATTTAGATTTATAAAAAAATTCGGAGGAGTAGCAGTGACGTAAAGATTGAGTGGCCTGTCTGCAAGGTTGGACAAGTTAATGAAAATAATCAACTGAGACAAGTTAAGTTAATTCAATTAAATTGCCTTTAGTTAAAGTTAAACCTCAACATTTAAATCAACGACATAAAAACCTAGTTTTAAAGTAAAGGTACTTATTACTAGTCGAAAAATAAACTTCGATGAATTAATAGCACAATTAAAATCAAGAAAAAATGAATATAATCTATATCGAATATTTTATTTTTGTAAATTTTGATTAAATTTAATTCCCCATATTATTATTGTCAAATAATTTAATAATTATAGCTATTATTTATTATTATAATTGTTTTATAAATATGATAATGTTCCTTGTCACGTTTTGATACGTATATGTTTTGAACCAATTAAATAACTTAATATTATAAATTAGTTTATAAAAAATGTAATTATTTATTTTAGATTCTGAGTGGAACAACGAATGTTTAGATTTTACAACGATGTGTGTCTTTTGTTATTTTTATTTTTGTGTCTTTCATCACGGTTTGGAGCAGTAAAAGAGCTTCAATTTTCTTCAACAGCAACTTTCCTGGTAGAAAAGTGGATCTAGTTGGTGCGCTATGGAGTTTAAATTTTAAAATTCCCAATAGTTTTCAAAAGTGACAGGCAAAACAAACAAAAAATTAAGGATAAACATTAATTTTTATGCAAAACCCGTTTTCGAAAAAATCGATTTTGGTTTTTAGTGTAACTCTAAAAATATACCATAGATACATACATTTTGACTAAATGTTTCTGTTAGCTTTTTCTTTACACCATACAATTTTCAAAATATTTTGACTCATGTTGAACTATTTATAGGCATATGAAATGTTCGATTATTATGAGTTTTTTTCGAATAATGTCTACAAAAAAATAACGGACAAAAACTTAAAAAAATAATACTAAGTTCATCATAAGTTGTTGTTAGAAGAAATAAATAAAAATGTGGAGCCTTAATCCACAATAATGTTTTATGAGCGTCTGAATTTCAAATGTCGACAAGATACGTAAAAATAACGACAATGTGCACATTTTTTAAGTTAGAAATTCATAAAAAATTTTCTTTCATATCTAAGATTTAAGAATTTGATACAAGACTCCTATAAGTTTGCCTACCTTTATCAAAAAAATTTTAACGGAAAGTCAAATTAAATTATTGTGAACATTTGAAGTTGAAATTTCTACAACATTGGATATTTACTGGCTTTCTCAAGTAGCAATTTTCTTATTTTTTTGTAATTCAAAAACGAATAACTGTAGATACTTGAAATTCACACCATATGTTTATTTTATCAATTAATATACTTAATAAAATTTTCAAAATATTTTGACTCGTTTTGGGCTGTTTACGGACATTTTCAATATTAATTTTTTTTGTTTTTTTTTCTATAAATGTCAATACAATTTTATAAGTTGGGTCAAAAAACATGGAAATTTAATACAAGACTACTGATAAACTAGTACAATAGTAGCTAGTTGATAAATATAAAAAATGATTTTTTAGTTAAAAATGTATTAAATGTATTGAAAATTTGATACAAGGTTCTATTCGTAAGTAGTTTATTCTGTAACCAAAAATCTAAAAATAACAGCTTTTTTATAGTTATTTTAAGTTCAAATTTAGAAGAAATTACATATTAACACAAAGAATAACGATTTTAGTCGTTTTGTAGTAGTTCCGTTCCAAAACAGCAAAATTATACATAAATATATAAAATATTTTTTCAGTACCATCGATAATTTAAGAATAATATTAATTCAACTTACCGGTTATCTTATTAATAATAAGTAATAACCTTATATAATATCCTAGACTGACATATTATACCGTCTCCGCTCAGAATCGTTTTTGGTAAACAATGGCGATAACTTAAAATAGTGAAGAGTTATTTTTATTTATTTTAAACATTTAGGGGCTTTAAGAGGTTTTATGCAACCAGCTTCTAAAATCCTAGTTATGCCACTGACGAGTAACCCAGTTAATTAGTTACAAGTATTTTGAGTTTTGTGGAGCGGAGTCAATCATAGTTGATAGGGATCAACATTTTGAGGAGTAACCGTGTACCATTCCAATCCGCTCAACTTAACTCGAAAGACTTATAACTCATAAACTAATCATCTGAAATTTGATTTTTGTGGATCGAAATACATCGAATAGTCTAGTATAGTACTCTGCTCCAGAATATAAAATTAAAAATGTTACTTATCATTAAAAAAAAGTAATAATAATTAGAGATAACTTTAAAAATGTCAAGAAATATAACTTAAAAAAAAATTTTTTATTGTAAATTTGTAAGGACTAAAATTATATGAAAAAAAATATTTTTAAAAGGTTAATATTTGTTGAAACAATAAGTGTCAAGCATTTAAATAAATCACAGATAAGTAATCGCCTTGAATGTTCATCGTACAAGAACCTTTAACAAAAACGAAAGGTACCTAAAGTAAACATTTAGGGTCACTAATCTAAACATTTAGACATCAATGTTAAGTCTAAATGGAGCTTGCGTGTATCTAAGATCTATATTTTTAGACGTTTATTAGACTGAAAAAATTAATTCTATTTTTAGATCTTTGGATAACTCCGAGTTGAGCCCTAAATTTATACAAAATGGTATGAGTTGGGTATTATATTTTGAGTCGTAACAACCTATATATGTGTTGTCTAGGAAACACCACTTGAAGGTTGGCTGTAAAAACTTCCAAAAACATTTTTTTTCGACAACAAAACAAGTGTATACAATTATTACTACATTTTTCCATGATATTTACACTATAGTAGCTGTAATGTTTGTCCCTAATTAATACTTACATTTTATACCTAACTCAAATTAGTAATTTTGTTAGGAAACAAATATAACAACAATATATTATATATTTACAACACGAACTATAAAGTATTATGAAACAAACACTTGTTGTGACACAAATAGCCAATTCGACTATTATCAAATTACTACCCGCGTATCCAATTTTAGTTTTTCCAGATGGCCAGATCATTGAATATATAATTTTTTATATACGTATAATAGATTTATTTTTAACTATATAGTAGGTAATATATTTTATAAATTAAAATATAATCAGTTATAAATTATTTTAAAAAAACAAAAGAATATTTATAAATAAATTAAATAATCAAATAAAAATATGATACATTATAGTATACATATTGATAATGATCTTATGATACATTGATACCTATCATTATAGTATATAGCGATAGAAATAAATTTCAAGTTCATGGCACACATGAATCATGTTATATAATTATACTATACACCAATAAATAATATATGTGATTACACATTGCACAACCTTAAAGTAATAATATAAATGTAATATTTATACTATATTAATTACCTAATATAATACATTAGGTAAATGTTCCTTACTGTAATCAGTAATTCAAATTTGATCTTGCAGTCAATAATCAATATTTAACCACGAAACAGTACAGTGCAATTGACTCCACATAAAACGAAGGCGTTGTCAAATAAAATTAAATATAAAGAAAAAGTGTATGAGACTTCAGTATAAATATCCGGTTCCGAGTACTAACCTTCAACGTAAGATTAAAAATGTTAGCAAATTTTTACACTCTTTACAAGTAGGCTTTTTGATTTTAACTATTAATTCGATTTAATTTTTTAGTTGAAATACAACAATGATGAAAAAAACAGAATTTATAACTCTACTTGGATTCATTCTGTCGACAGTACTATTAAAAAGGTAAACTGACTTCCATAAAGCTTAAATTAATAAATTATAATTTAAGTATTTAAAATATTGTTTTAAAATAAATATAATAGTTGTCTTTAGTGGCATACCTTATGAAACATTTTCGGGGGGTGATGCTTCTGATGCCCCCCCTCCCCCCAAAGGTATGTCACTGGTTTTCTGCGTATTTTAACAATAAAAATTTATGAATTCAATTTAAGTGATTCTACTAGAATTAAAAGTGATAAGCTTGTGATCGATACGGATGCTGGTTCTGATGATGCAATGGCACTTTTGCTTACACTATCGGTGTCTGCCAACAACGACACGAATTTTGATATTGTGGCAATAACTTGCACCTATGGTAACACCAATTTGACCAACGTCGAAAAAAATGTGCTCAAGACACTGACAATCGCAAATGAATCAAAAGTAACTATAATTCAGTGTTGGAAATAAATAACTAATAATTTATTTAGATGAAGATGAATGTTTCAAATTTTTATCTAAATAAATATCAGATAAAATCAGGTTTGATTCAAATTTTGCACATTTCCAGTGATACAGGTATTAGGCAAAAATATATATATCATTAGAACATTGTATTAAAACTAGACAAATAGTCAGTTTCTGACTTAATACAAAAAACTAAAATTTGAAAAAATTTAACAATAAATAACAGGAAACCCAAACTTGAATAAGTTAAATGACAACATATAAGATCTATTCTTTAATAGAAATACTAATTATTATTAATAATTTCATTAGTTTGTTTAAACTTAATACACAATAAATTGTATGAAGCTGGAATTAAGCGGCTAAATGTCGTAGAGGAATAAGGTCGTGGGCGCCTTCTGGGTCGTGGGGCCGTGGGGGTGTCTATTGAAGACCGTCGTTATACGGTGGCGGGTAGCAGTTATAGTTGTTTTGAGGATTGGCTTATTTGTTAGTTGGTTTTAGGTACGGCATGACTAACATTAATAGTTTACTAACAATTTATTAATTAATATTGAAATACTTAGTATAATAATAAATCTTATCAAGCTGTTTGTTTTTTGAGTAATAGGTAGGTAAACAAAATACTGATTACATAAATAATATTTATAATTTTAGATTTTTTATTTTTTATTTTAGTCCATTTAAATAAAATATCTAAATAAGGACGCATAGATAACTAGAATTTTATCTAGATAAAGATTAATTTTACTGAACTGAAAATTTTGTTTATAGATCAGATAAAGATGATCAATTTTTATCATAATTTATAGTGTCCATATGACAAAAAACATGATTGTGTTGACTTGAATTTTTTATTCAACCCTTTATTTTTATTTCATAGATTCCAGTTTACTCTGGTGCATTCAAACCTCTGACTGAGAATCATACATCTGATAACTTTTTTGGTAATGATGGATTTGGTGATTTTAAATTCAATCGAGAAATTATTGGTAATATTGATAGATCAAAGCATGCATCAGCTGCATTAATTGATTTAGCTAATAAATATCCTGGTGAATTGAATATACTTGTACTTGGACCAGCAACAAATGTTGCACTTGCAATATCATTGGATCCAAAATTTGTGTATAAAGTCAAGCGATTTTATGTCATTGGTGGTAGTGTTAATGGTATTGGGAATAGAAGTCCAGGTGTTAAATTTAATTTTGGAGCGGATCCAGAGAGTAATTTTATACTTTACAATTCAACTCGAAGAGAAGTTAGTTTATTACTACCATGGGAGACAATTTTATCAACTAATATATCATCGGTAAATTGTGCAAAATTAAAATAACTTTAAACAATTGATCAATAACTTGTTTTTTTGTTTTAGTCATGGAGAAAAAATGTACTTGGTCGTGTTGGTTCAAAATTTATAACATTTTTAAATAAAGCAGAATCAAAAATTTTAGACGCGCCAAATTGGTTACCTAGTGATTCTTTAATTGCAGCTGCAATGTTGTGTCCGAAACTAATTAAAAAATCAATGGTTACAAATATAACACCAATTACAGATGGTAAAGCACGTGGTGGGGCACTGGTTGATTATACGAAACTAACTCATAAACCAAATAATGTTGAAATTATTCAAGACATTGATGTTGAAGAGTTTCAAAAAATTCTTTTGAAATATTTATCATAAATTTAAAATTAAAAAAATGACTATATTAGTATTTATGAATTTATGTTAAACCTGCACAATTATCAAATATGGATAAACTGAAATACCAAAAATATTATAAATATCAATAATTTTGAATATTCACAATTAAAATTAAAATGTTTATCTATACGACTACACAAACAAGAAACGAATGTAGTGTATGTGTACCTGTACTTTTAATTGTAATAAACTATTACAAATTTGTATAATACGTCTTGTATATAATCAGCTCCAGCACTTTCAATATTTTTTTTAAGAAATTAGTAAAATTTTATTTTATTGAATTTTATTGGTGGGATAGTGGTATAATTTTTAAGTTAGCAAATTGGATAACCTGAATATTATAAAAACATATAGTAAACTTTAATAGATTGAGATTTTTTTATTTCTGTTATTATTTTTAATTGTCACGCCATAATAAAATGTATATTGAAGTCTGAAATTAACCTAACTTAATACTCAGCCATACGTATAAATAAAAAAAAAATGTTAAAATATAATTTAAAAAATTTCACAACATTAACCTATTTAAAAAAAAAAAAA